ATGAACAAAGGTTTAGGTCTAAAAGGGCCTAGTGGTATGGGGAACAGCTCCACAAGTCTGCTATGGAGTTTCAACTCTAAAACGTTCTGTATTTTAAATTGAACAAAAGCCCAGAACTATTTCAAAAGTGTTCACAAGGGACTACCCAATTTGGAATTCAAAAACCTGGAAGTTTAGTAAATGAAGTATTCAGAATCCACTTAAGAAAAGTTCTTTTAAATTCAGAACTCTTGAAGAAAAATCCTAATCGAACCAAATCAAGATGTTAAAATCAAGAAAAAGTAAGAGGTGCCTGGCTGGCTCAGTCAGTAGAGCATGCACTGATCTCAAGGGTTGTAAATTCAAGCCCATGTTGGGTGCAGAGATTACTTAAAAAACAAAACAAAACAGGGCGCCTGGGTGGCTCAGTGGGTTAAGCCTCTGCCTTCGGCTCAGGTCATGATCCCGGGGTCCTGGGATGGAGCCCCACATCGGGCTCTCTGCTCAGCAGGGAGCCTGCCTCCCTTCCTCTCTCTCTGCCTACCAAACAAATAAATAAAATTAAAACAAAACAAAACAAAACCACACACACACACAAAACAGAAAACGTTAACTCTATCTATCATCACTTTAATGTGCACACCACGTTTATAGGAAATAACAATATTATGAACTTTTTTTTTTTTAAGGGTTTTATTTATTTATTTGAGTGAGAGAGAGTGTGAGTGAGAGAGAGCACAAGCCATAAAGGAGAGGCTGGGGGAGAGGGAGAAGCCGACTCCTTGCTGACCAGGGAGCCCGATGAGGGGCTTGATCCTAGGACCCTGACATCATGACCTGAGCTAACGGTAGATGATTAATGACTGAGCCACCTAAGTGCCCCTCTTAGGATCTTTTCAATAACAGAGCATAGAAAGCATTATTGTTAATGATGACTAGCATAAGTAATTTAAAAATACAAGTAATCTCTTCTCTTTCCACATTTACTTGCAGAATAAGGACAAAAGAGGAGCAGAAACAACTGAAATATGTAACCAGAATCAGAATCCCTGCAAGAGAGGGTGGGAGTAAGTTACTGAGTCTTGTGCCACACACACTGGGGAACATATTCCTAACCATGGAGGGCCAGATCTGCCACTGCAGCACAAAATCTGACACTGATGATATGTAAATGAATGGGAGTTGCTTAATTTGGCCAAGGAGCTTTAATTTGTTGACCCATGATCTAGGAGTACAGGGGTAACTGAAAGAATTGGTGACCAAGGTACCATGGGAGCCCATAAGAGTGGACTTCAATCTGGTTTTGAGAAAGTGACTTTGAATAAAGACTGTAAAACTGCGGAGGAATTAGCTAAAGGGAGGAGCTGGCTTCTCTGGTGGTCATACGAGGAGTGGTGGTGTTGGAGGAGAGTATTTCCAGCACAAGGCCCAAGGCCAGTGGCAGGGCCAGTGAGGGCCAGTTTGACTAGAGAGGGAGCAGGGTTCATAATGAGTTGGAGTGAAGTCGTAAGAATCTCGACAGAGTAAGTTAAAGATTGTGGACTCTAAAAGGTGCTGGGAAAACCCCTGTAGGGTTTTAAACCGAACTGACTTAAACCGAACTGACTTAGCATACTTGCTAATTCAACAAAGATTTATTTAATGAGTGCCTACTACATGTCAGGGATATTAAGAAAAAAAAAAAAAAAAAAGAGTCCTTGTTCCTAGGATATCTATATTCTGGTGTAGAAAACAAACAAAATAAACATTGCTCTAAGTACCAGAAAGGAAATAAATACCCTCATCTCTGAGAGGGTGAGTTTAGCCTGAGATGTCAACAATAGGTAAGGAAGAGGTTCCTGGTAGGCAAGAACTTGGCATATGGTAGGCAATGGCCTAAGACCAGTGTGACCAGAGAATGATGAAGACAGTAGAATGGGAGGAGGAGGGGCCTGCTCAAGTGGGGCTCTGAAAACCATGGAAAACCACTGGGGTGCTTTAAGCAGGGAGACCTGGGTTGAAACAGGGAAAACTGAGGATACCCTTCTTGGAGCCCAGGCAAAAGATGATGGTGGTTTGGAATAGGGTGGTAGAAGCGGAGATGAGAACAGAAAGCAGATTTGAAATATATTTTGGAAGAAGTGACAGGACTTACCAAAAGACTTGGGTAGGAGGGTAGTAAGGACAAAGAATCCAAGATGATTCTCAGAGGTCTGGCTTCAGTTACCATGTCGATGAGAGTACTTCTTAGTGAGACAGGGGAGATCACATTTGGAATTATGGGAAAACTAAAATGTTCTTTTTATTATGTTAAGTTTGGGATGTCTAAGAAACATCCAAATGGAACTACTTAATAGGCATTCTGTGTATGATTCTGGAACATAGAGGAGGCAGGACTAAAGGGCTGAACTTGACAGTTGCCACTTTTCAGATGGTAATTAAAGTCGTGAGACTGGATCATCTAAAGGACGTATGCAGAGAGCCCAAGATTAAACTCTGAAGGAAATTCGACATTTACACACTAGGCAGAGAGCAAAAGTGGCTAGCAAAGGACACTGAGAAGGAGCAGCCAGAAAAATGGAGATGATCCAGGAGTTAAGTGTCAATGAAACCAAGAGAAGAGTTTCTTCTTCTTCTTTAAAAAAGATTTCATTTATTTGAGAGTGAGCGAGCACAAGCAATGGGAGGGAGAGAGAGAAGCAAGACACCCCACTGACCACGAAGCCTGACCGGGGCTCTATCCTAGGACTGTGGGATCATGACCTGAACCGAAGGCAGATGCTTAACCGACTGAGCCACCCACTCACCCCAAGAGAAGACTGAGTGTCAAGACAGAAGTAAACTGTGTTGCATATTCCAGGGATTGAGGAAAGTAAAAACAAAGTATCCATGAGATTTGGCAATAAAGAAATCATTAGTAACCCTCGACCAGAGACCTTCAACCAAATGGTCAGAAGAGAAACCAGACTAGTAGAGCCAGAAAAATGAATAAAATACGAGAAAGTTGACACAGATAGAAATCTGGCTATGAGAGAAATAAAAAAATAAGGATGATAGCTGGAGGGGGATGAGGGGGATTCCAGAACATAATTTGTATGTGATGGGAAGAGATTTTTATGGAGAGGTAGGATTGGGTGATTGATTTTACCAGAGAATAATGGAGAGGAAGAATCTAAGGATTTTACAAAGGATCCTGACCACAGTGACATTTATTTTTTTTTTTT